GCTGTCAGGTGGCAGAGCGGCTTTGTGGTGATGAGAGATTGGAGAGAGTAGTTAGAAGGCGTCTGCAGTGACCAAGGCGAGGCTTGCTGCTGTCTTACATTGGAGAAGTGGCCATGGGGATGGCAAGAAGTGGGTCAAGTCCAGATGTGTTTTGGAGGTAGAAGGCGGGGCTTAGGATTGTCACGTGTAGGAAAGCTTTCAGGATTTTAGGGGGTGTTAAGCTTGCTGGGACTCAAGGAGCTGGCGATGGGTGGGTGTGGGGGAATGGATTTGAGGGTAGAATCTAGGATGACTCCCCACGTTGTGGGCTGGATCACCTGGGAAGATGAAGATGGAGAATGTAAGGGAAAGAGAGTGTTTCCTTTCTTCAGCATCCCGAAACACTCTCTTTTGAATAGGCTCCATCACGTCTTCTGAAGTGCTGATCTTCTTTTATTCTATGAAATCGAAGACTCCTGAAAATGTGTTCCCGTCAGCACAGAGTGGAGAAAGACTGTTGCCCGTCTGTCCTAAACTCCATGCTTCCATTCCATCGGGTTCAGGGTCTGGGTCCAGATTAATTCTGGCTGTATCACTTGCTAGCCACAAGATCTTAGGTAAGTTACTTAAATCTCTCTGTGCCTCAGTTTCTTTTTCTGCAAAATGGGGATAATAAGATAGAACTTCTCCCCTAGGTTATTTTGAGAATAGCATGAGATTGTGCTGAGCATACTGTAAATATTCATATAGCTGAAGGGCCAATTTCATTTTTGCCACCTCCTTGAAACATACTATCCCTTAAGACCCCAAGAGCTTTCCTGCACCTTCCATTTCTGAGCCCTGCTTTCATCATTCTGTGCTCACGCAGTTGAATTTTTAAACCCAAGTTCAGGGCCTGACATTTATCCCTGTTAAATCTCATCCTGTTAGATGCAGCCGTTGGCGCCAGCCTGTCAAATTCCTTTTTATTTTGATGAGGAAGAGGTGGCGTGATGCATGCTAAGTTCATTTTTGTGGCCATAAAAACATCCATGGATGGTGTTTTTGCCATCTTCTTGCCCCCTGGTGAGTGGTCCCCTAGCCTGGGGACGTGAAGGCAGGGACCAAGTTGGGCTGAGATGAGGGAGGCGAGGAGGCTCACTTGGCCCGAGGGCGATCCGGCACAACCATCCTGGTTCCCGTTTCCCAAGTCAGGCACTGGCTTGGAGTTCTGAGATGCCGGGCCAGAGAGACCTGTTCAAAGTCACTTCATGGGTTGGCCAGTGACAAGCCTAAGGCACAGGCCATGGCCCAGCCGGCCCAGCTCTCTGTCCACAAGGCCCCACCACTTAATGATCTGACCTCTTTCCAAACCACCCTGTCACATTCCCTGACCTCGGATCAGAGAAGAATGTGGGCTAGACATGTCTCGCTCCACACGGCCCTCCGGCCTCTCCACTCCCAGAGTGTGCACGTACCCGCATGCCTCTGAGCGTAGCACCCCCCAACTCCCTCCCGCTCCACGCACACACCTACTGTGTCCATGCCGGGCGAAACAACACAGCCCCTTCCACACTGGTTGAGGGGGGGTTGTGCTCTGACCCACTCATGCTCCTCCTCTGACCTTTCCAAGGTCTCTGTCCCCACCTTAGAACTGATCTCACAGCAGTGGCAGGTGGCTTTGTTGTTTATGCTTAACTGCATGCATTACTGAGCTTTCTTCCTGTGGGAGTCTCTCTCCCTAACTTCCTAAGGGCAGGTAAGTCTTCCGCTTAGGCCAAGAGCTCCCTGAGGACAGGGGCTGTGTATCCCATGACTTCTTCCCTTGCTCTCCAAGCACCTACTGGGCTCAGTTCATGGGGGGAGCTGGACTTCAAGGTGACCCTGGCACTTAGCAAAGGCCCAGAAGGACAGCCAAACCTAGAAGCCCTGAGAAGCAAAATAGTGCATTGATTCTGCATTCCTCCCAGACTTCGGGGGAGTGGAGGTGGAAAGACACCTCCAGCCAGGCACAACAACGCGCCTTTGGTACCAGCCTCTGGGACTGATGGACTCATTGGTCCAGTGCCCACCACCACTCGCCCTCTTCCATTAATACACTCCTTGTTCACCATGTATGCTGCGAGGTATTTTTCCAGGCAGTAGTTTCTTGGGAGAATTGAATTTCCCTAATAAGTAGCCTTGCAAATAACTCAGAGGACAGGGAGAGAGAGGAAGCTCTCTCTCTAGATTCTAACACAGGGAAATCCACAAATTAACCCTCACTGGAGCAACCTGCTCAGACTAGAGAAGGGAAAAAAGGTTCCTTCTCTGCAAGGTTCCTTCTTTCGCTAGTTCCACATGTCTCACATAATTCTTGGTTAATTTTCTCCGCCAACCTGTTGGTATGGCTTGGAGAAGACTCGGGGAGAGAGGGACTGAGATGAAAGAGAAGAAGAAAAGTGGCTCACGCCTGTAATCCCAGCAATTTGGGAGGCTGAGGTGGGCAGATCACGAGGTCAGGAGTTCGAGACCAGCCTGACCAACACGGTGAAACCCCATCTCTACTAAAAAACAAAAACAAAAACAAAAACAAACAAACAAAAATAGCCGGGCGTAGTGGTGCATGCCTGTAATCCCAGCTACTCAGGAGGCTGAGACAGGAGAATTGCTTGAACCCGGGAGGTGGAGATTGTAGTGAGTCGAGATTGTGCCACTGCACTCCAGCCTGGGCAACACAGCAAGACTCCATCTCAAAAAAAGAAAGAGAGAGAGAAAAAAGAAAAGTATAAACACTTTATATTTGTATAATGCTTTGTATCTTTTCAAAGGACTTTGCCTCTATAAACCCAATACTCATTACATGCTATCAGTATAGACCTATTTATTCATCAGACTTTTAGTGAGAGCTCACTATGTGTTGGGCCTTATGCTAGGCACGTAGAGGAATGTTATAGGAAATTAGACCTGGAGGAGATAAAACCTTGGATAGGGAGACAGAATAAACAAATGACGAGAATTTAAGGTGGAAAAAGGGATAATGGGGATCAAAGGAGGAAAACACCAACCCTACAGTAGAGTAGAAATAGCAAGCACTTTACAAAGAAAATGATAGCTGAGCTGGGTTGCTTCTAATAGAGGAGGAAAGGAGGAGCTACAAGGAAGAGAGTTCTTATTTTGTGTAGCCCAAGTCTCCCTGCAACTGACGCTTATCAGTAGAGAGCACCCAGCATGGTGAAAGGCATAGAAACCACAGTGTACTGGGAAAGGGTGAAGGAAATTTGGAGTTTGAGCTGGAGAACAGACTTGGAGACAAGGGACACCCTTGCCATTATTTGAAGGACTGATGGATTTATGTATTTATTTATTTATTTATAGACAAAGTCTTGCTCTGTCACCCATGCTGGAGTGCAATGGTATGATCATGGCTCACTGCAGCCTTGAACTCCTGGGATCAAACAATCCTCTTGCCTCAGCTTTTTGAGTAGCTGGGACTGCAGGTGTGCACCACCATGCCCAGCTAATTTTTAAAAAATTTTTTGTAAGGACAGGGTCTCATTATGTTGACTGGTCTTGAAATTCTGAGCTCAAGCAATTCTCCCACCCTAGCCTCCCAAAAATGTTGGGATCACAGGCGTGAGCCACCACACTCGGCCAGGACTGATGGAAATAAAGACAAAGTAGATCCTCCCTGTGACTCCAGTGGGGAGACCCAAGGCCAGTGGGTGGGAGGAAAATATTTTAGCTCGAAAAAGAAAGACAGCATGTGATGCAGTGCAGACAAAGTAACCAGGGGTGGTTTCCCCTTTCCCTAAGAGGGCATTTGGCAATGTCTGGAGACAATTTTGGTTGTCACACCTGGAACGTGGGGTGCTACTGATATCTAGGGGGCTATCTAGCCAGGGATGCTGCTGCTACACATTCCACAGTGCACAGGACAATAACCCTCCACAGCAAAGAATCATCCAGCCCCAAATATCAGAGTGCCAAGGTCAAGTAACTCTGATGCAGTGGAAAAAGCCCAAGCTTGGGGTTCTAATCTCTCGTACCAGCAGTGCCATTTACTAGCCTTGAGACTGTGGGCAAGTTACTCAAACCCTCTTGTTATCAGATCCTCATCTGTAAAATGAAGATAATAGAACCAAACAAAACCACTGAATCCCAAATTCAGTGGATTCTTTCTGAAGAGTGCCCAGCAAAGTCCCTTCTATAGAGAACGTGCTCTGTAGTGCCTGTTATTAAAACACAAGGAAGATTTTATTTCCTTTATATCATGAAACTGTCTAATAATTGATCAGGGTGCCAGAGAGGTTATGAGTTGTAACGAGTTTTCTGTACCTGGGAGTGCTCAACTTCCTGCAGGGACGTTATAGAGGGTTTTCTGGAGTAGGTGTGTTAGTCACTCAGTCCTTCTATTCTGGCATTTTTCTTGAGGGGGATCAAGACATCTGCATTGCTTCTTTGTTTCTTTGTTTTGAGACGGAGTCTCACTCTATCGCCCAGCTGGAGTGCAGTGGAGTGATCTCGGCTCACTGCACCCTCTTCTGCCCAGGTTCAAGCAATTCTCCTGCCTCTGCCTCCTGAGTAGCTGGGATTACAGGCACCTGCCACCGTGCCTGGCTTTTTTTGTATTTTTAGTAGAAGCGGGGTTTCACCATTTTGGCCAGACTGGTCTTAAACTCCTGACCTCATGATCCACCCACATCAGCTCCTCAAAGTGCTGGGATTACAGGTGTGAGCCACCGCGTCCAGCCAACATCTGCACTGTTGTAGGGGACCTCTCAGAGTGGTGAGAAAAACTATAGGGAAAGGATGCAAACCTTCTGAAAGGTCAGAAGGTTCTGCAGAGCCCTGGGGGAGAATGGCTGAAGGCAGCTGTTCTATAACCCTGAGGCAGAGGGCAAGGAGCAGGTACAAGGAAGTGTGGGGGGAATTTATCTTAAACAAGCTTGTTATGTTGACCAGGAACTGACTTTTGATCATCCAAGTGCATGAAGTTCCCTGAAAGGGGAACGATAAATGTTAATTACCTACAGGTTGTGTTGGCTCCAGGTTTTCGGCATTGTGCCTACACCAAATAAAAGCAAGCAGTTCCAGCTTCTCAGGGCTGGCACTGTGGCCACTTGAGCTGCTCTTATACTGCATACCTGTGTCTGAGTGCTCATTTCATCCATCGGCCAGGGTCTGTGGGACAGAACCGGGTGCATGGTGCCCCGTGTGAGTGCAGCGGATCATGACGGAACCCTCGAAAATGAAACTGAAGTGATTGCGCAGTAAGTAATTGGTGCCTGCTGGGGATTTCCAAGTTCAAGGGGATTTTCCAGCTAGGGTTTCATCATGGGACAACAGTTATCCCCTCAACAGCAATAGTACATAAAGGTATTGAAACAATTGCCTAAAGCTAGCGGAGCCTCGGTCTCGGAGACCCAGTTAAAGGAACTGATGCAAACTGTTGTTTTTCATAACCCATGGTTCCCAGAAGAAGGTACACTAGACCTAGGGCTCCGGGAACAAGTGGGAAGAAATCTTAAATGACGTGAGCAAAGGCACCAGGTCCCAGTAACATCTTTAATGTTATGGGTCCTAATAGGATTGCTTTGGCCCTGCTCTTCACAGAAGAGCCCAAAAAGGTAAGGGAAGAGGAACCACTACCCACTTTAATGCCTCCACCTCCCTCAGCCCTGCTGTTACTGGGTAAAGATACCAAAGAGGAGACGGAGGTTTTCCCCGAGCCCCCTCCCCAAGTAAACTGGGAAGAAGACAAGGAAGAAGACAGTTATGGGACCCTGCCTTAGGCAAGCAGCATTGGAAGAGGACCTCTTGGCCTGCCCAGTGATGCAAGATCGAGGCAATTGGGAGCATAAGCCCATTGCATTTAACACTTTTAAGGAAATAAGAAAAAGCATTAGAGAAAATGGGACCACTGGCCCATTCACAAGAGGATTAATTGAGGCAATAGCAGATAACTACCATATGACTCCATGGGACTGGCTAAAACAACTTTAGGAGGCGAGTCAATACCCCCTCTGGAGGGCAGAAATGACGAATTGTGTGAACAACAGGCTAACCAGAATCAATTGGCTGAACAAAACATACCGGCTGCTGTGCTCCAGGGGAGGGGTCCCTATGTTAATATACAACAACAACTAAATTTTGTACCTCAAGCCTATGCACAAGTGTCCTTATGCGCCTGCAGGGCTTCGACCAAATTCCCAAAGACGGAGTTCAACAGGGATCTTTTGTAAATGTTCAACAAGGGCCTCAGGAGCCATTTATTGAATTTATCAATCAGTTAACCCAGGCAATTAAGAGCACACATGGAACATCAACCGTTCCATGGGTATCTTGTATAACCCTCAAGGACAAGCCATATTGGAACATGCCCATTCCACCCTTAAAAATATGCCTTAAAAAAAGGGGAATATGAGTAAGGACCCTACAACACTATTAGCACAAGTCTTATTCACCCTTAATTTCTTAAATTTAGATAGTAAATTTCAGTCAGCCGTAGAAAAGCACTTTGCTAAAACCTCCCAAGATATAAAGCCTTCAGTGTTATGGCAAGATGTAAATAGTAATCTATGGTGCAGTCCAAATGATTTACTAACATGGGGAAGAGGATATGCTTGTGTTCATATCCCCTCAGATCCTCTTTGGATTCCAGTGCAATGCATCAAAACATACCATGGCATGGCTAGGACCCAACCCAGTACCGGAAATGAAGAATGTGACCCTGCAGGACCTGCAGCCCTGGACAATGCACCTTCCTCAGACAACACAGGCCCTGGATGGGGAATGTGAAAAAGACAACTGGGGGATGCTGAATAAGACAACTCAGGAGGCTGAGCAAATCACAGATACCATTCACTACAGATAATCTGTTCCTTGCTATGCTGTCTGTTGAACATTGCAACTCTTCTAGAGATACAAAGCCAGAATACAAGCTGTAACTGCTGCACCTGTCAAACCTGTTGCTGCACACATCTGTATGCTTCAATCAACTAAACCTGATGCAAAAAAACAGAAAAGGGGGAGATGCAGGGGATCGCTCAGAGTGGTGGGAAAAACTATAGGGAAAGGATGCAAACCTCCTGAAAGGTCAGAAGGTTCTGCAGAGCCCCTGGGGAGAATGGCTGAAGGCAGCTGTTCTATAACCCTGAGACAGAGAGCAAGGAGTAGGTACAAGGGAGCAGGGGGCAATTTGTCTTAAACAAGCTTGTTATGTTGACCAGGAACTGACCTTTGATCATCGCATGCATGAAGTTCCCTGAAAGGGGAACAATGAATGTTAATTACCTTCAGGTTGTGTTGGTTCCAGGCTTTCGGCATTGTGCCTGCACTGAATAAAAGCAAGCAACTCCAGCTTCTCAGGGCTGCTCTCTGGCCATTTGAGCCAGGCAGTCTTCTAGCTGCTCTTAGATTGCATACCTGTGTCTGAGTACTCATTTCATCCATCAGCCAGGGTCTGCGGGACAGACCCAGCACATTGTAGCCCCAGCACCCCATGAATTGAAGGGATTGCACTTTTCCAGAAACCAAGAACTGATTGAATGAGAGCTGATCAAAGTAGTATTAGAACCTTACTCCCTGCCTCTTAAATAATTCTTTACCCTTCCTAGCTCCCCACTCCTTGGTTCTGGCCTTTAATAACGTGAGAAACTGAAGAAGGTCCCCAAAAAGTAATGCAAAGGACACAGAGGTCAGAAGAGGAGCGAAGAAGAAAGGGAAGGTTAAGGGGAGGAAGGGAAGCCCTGTGACAGGGGATGTGGAGCAGCAGGACATTGGCCCATTGTCCCCACCACCTCAGAGGCCAGCAGGAGGAAATGAGCCTCACTGAGGAAAGTCCACACAGAAAGTGGTTCCCAAGGGAAGGTGAGGGATTCCATCTGGGGGAGCAGAAATTAGAATCAGCAACCATACATGAGTCCAGATTCTGGGCTCAGACCTTCGTGGACTGCTGTTGAGGCACAAATGACAAATCTAAGCTGCTATGGAATGGCATGAATGAGGCAATTGGAAGTGTTCTGAAATCTAGGAAAGGGAAGTGGGCAAGCCCCATGGCAGGGCACTCAGAATCTCCAAGAGGCTCTTCTCAGAGAACAAACACCCCGCATGAAAACCTATTTGAGAATTACCCCACTAAAATGATGCTGGAGTGTAACTGCCTGAGAATGTTAACAAATGATTTAAACTGAAAAAAGTTTTTATTTTTAGGTGAAGGAACAGATTCAGAGAGGTAAAATGAATTATCTAAGATCATAGTTAGTGGCAGAACTGGAACTAAAACCTAGGGATATATATATATTTGTTAAAAGCTTTTTAAAACAGCATGGCTGAGAACCAATCGCATCAGACTCTCCTGTGTGCCTTGGTAAATGCAGATTCCTAGACTCCTCACAGAGCTAAGGAAATAGAGTGCTTTGGGATAAGCCTTGGAAATGTATTTTTTTTCCCCCTTACCAAGCTCCCAAGAGCTAGAAAAGGAAATGTACCCTTAAGCTCACCAGGTGAGGTGACTCATATGCACATTAAGCTTGAGAGCCAGCAGTTTAGATAGGTTCGCTGATGGTAGACAGATGGAGTCCAAGACCTCTGAAGTGCCTCCCAGTCAAGGAAGCTGGGAATCTGTGATGTAGGTACAGCATAGGGTGGCTGTAGCCCCCTCCCCTCTCTGTGTATAGAGGCCATCTCATGAACCTCCAGGAAGAGTCAAAGAGCTATCACACATCCTAGAGCTGGAATGGGCACCCTCCACACTAACCCCTTTGCATAGCCTGTCTGCTCTGCATGATCCCACAGCTGGTCACTACAGCCTGGAAGAGCTGAGACAGAGAAGACAGATGTGGGGAGGGAGAGTAACAATAATAAATAGACCTCAGACAAGAGGCTGCTGCACGGATCTCATTCAACTGTTTATTCAGGACAATAGGTTATCTTGTGGGGTGGGGGGGGGGGTCTGCTTTGGCTTGAGTGTGCCCGTCAGTCCAGCCCAGCAGGCCTCTGCCCTGTGGCTGTCATTGCCAGGCTGTCAGGAGAGGTGTCATCATTTGCTTTTCTCTGAATTCCAATCACTGTCTACTGTTGCAGCTGAACCTGAGCCTGACTTTTTCAGATGTTGCTCACTGTCTGCTGTTTCTGGTCCCCCATCACCTGATCCACTGTACCACAGAGTATGAGTTTGGGCAGGAGGGTAAGTCCACAAACCCAGGCCGTGCAAACTGCCCTGCCCACCCTTCCCACTAAGCTCCAACTGAACCAGATGACATTGTCTGCTCCAACTGGGCTGTTTCCAATTCCCCAAACACACCCAGCACACTCCCATCCCAAACTGAGCCTTTGCTCTTGCTGTTTCCTCTGCCTGGAAGTCCTTCCCCACGTCGTTCAGCATATTCTACTCATTCTTTAGGGCCCTGGCAGACATTGCTGGTTGCATAACCTTCATCTCTTCTCCCCTTCTTCGTTTACAGTCCATTGATTTTGTTTAAGGAAGGGAGATCAATATGCCATCCTAAAAATATTGCTTCTAAGTGATAATGTAACACAGTTCTAGCCAATGGGATTTATACATTTATTTACGTTGGAGACAGGGTCTCTCTCTGTCACCCAGGCTGGAGTGCGGTGGCATGATCTTGTCTCACCGCAGCCTCAAACTTCTGGGCTCAAACAATCTTCCCACCTCAGCCTTCTGAGTAGACTGGGACTACAGGCACAAGGCGCCATGCCCAGCTATTTTTTAATATCTATTTTTAACTTTTAATTTCCTTAAAAAAGGAAGAGACAGAGCTGGCATGTGTCTGGCATGTGTGTTTTGTTTTTCCCCTTCTTGCTCCCTGGAAAGTCTAAGCCTGGGGGTGGAGTAGCCAATTTATAACCAAGAGGATAAAGACCACATGTTAAGGATGTTGGCCCGGAAGACAGAAGGAGCCTAGGTCCTTCATGACATCTTGAGGCTTGCACCATCCTATCTCCACTCTTCTTATAACAAGAGAAAAACAAACCTCTATTTGTTTAAACCTCGTAGTCAGGTTTCTGTTACATGCAGCCAAATGCAGTCCTAACCAATACAATGGCTTATCTAAATATATACATTTATTTATTTATGTATTTATTTACTTATTTAAAGAGAGATGGGGTCTTGTTTTGTGGCCCAGGCTGGTCTTGAGCTTCTGGGCTCAAGCAGTCTTCCCACTTCGGCCTCCCAAAGTGCTGGAATTACAGGCATGAGCCACCTTGCCTGACCTTTCCCTCCATTTCTAATCATCCTGGCTAGATA